TGCCTAAATGCATGGTAAATGCCTCCTTTTATAGGCCAAAATTAGAAATTAATGATTTGATAACCAATTCATGAGTGGGTGACCAACTCGTGATTTGGTGACAATCCTTATCTTCTTTTGTCTGCCCAAAACGTCATTAATAATGTCAGAATTGGATCCAATTAAAACATGAAAGTTGTATGAAATTATCTAAACTTTCTAGGAAAAAAATGGAGGTCATTTGGACGTATAGAATTCTAGATATGGGTCAAACACTGAATTTGGATTGAAATAACCTTTTTAAATCTTAGGCTCCACATAAAAGTTGTAGGCATATGTCTTATCTTTCCATCCATATAAAATAGATCTAAATCCGAGATCTACAGCTTCAGATATGACCCAATTACTGAACAATGTTCTGATTTGGACTGTACTAACATCTCTTTTCTAAGTTTGGTCATCTCTTTGTCCTTTTAATTTCAGTTCTTAAACTCATCAATCAATCATTTTATTTATATGATAGGCTTGCATTTAAAATGAATATTTACCACAAATTAAAGGTATCTTATATTATTAGGTATGTTATTATAAAACATGTGTTAGTTAAGGGGTTATTGATACTTCAAGTGCAAAATGATGATATAAAACTTTAATAAAAATATACTTTAAGTACTAATCATATGAGTAGGATAAAATATGTTAAAACATAAATAAGTATAAGAAAAATTAAGCCATATATAAAAATTTAAACACATCAAATCACATAAAACACTGAAAGCCTAGTCTAATATTGTAAAAAAATAAAAGGCCCTAGTGGAGTCATCATTATATTACACATGTGTGTGCATTATAGTAGGACGTTAGGGCGTCATAGAGTTGTCACTTAATTGTTTGGTTTAGGATTATTAGAAGACCTAAATAAACTAGTCTTATTTGAAATTTCTGGGTAAGGGGCTAGTTTGACCAAGTAAACATATTAACACTTTTAATGCACCTTACTTAAGGTAAACTGTAGTGCGCGGTCTGGACATGGTTTAAAAACGTTGATGGATTCCTAATTGATGGTTCGCCTATGGTTCAAAACAAAGATTACTTAAAAAGACAATTAGCATTTTAAATTTATTATAGACTTGTATGCCCGAATAAATCCTTATAGAAAGAATTCATATAAGTGCCTTGATATAAAAGTATTTTTCATAACTCGTATATTTTAGTGAAAAATATCTCAATTAAAATTAGTAAATATTAAAAAAATATCTAAGAATTTTCTAGTCAATTCTTGATATTTAAATATCAGCCTACTTGTATATCCAACATTTATATCAGAATGTTGACCATTAATTTTCAGATGAAAAAATTTAAAATTATTGAAATAATGGTCAAATCCTTAAAAACATCTCACAAACATATTTAAATAATATGAAAAATAGAAGTCTAAAACAATGCTGAAAAAATTTCTCTTTTTTATGAATAAAATGTAATTTTTTTATAAGGATTAGGTTATATGCAACAAGTAGAATTTTTTATTTTTTTTAAAGGCCACATTATGCAAAACACATTTTTTTCTAAAACTAAAATTTTTAAAATAGGCTTATAAGTTGTTTGCTAAACACTCTTAAGCAAAAAAACAAAACCTTTAGCAAAAACAATGTCAACCAAACAAAGTCTTAATGTTTGATATGATTTTGACCTAACCGAGTTAACTCGAAACTTTTGGTTCAACTATATATCGAATCAAATTCAATTAGTTTGACTTAAAAAACAAACCAAAACCTATACTAAAATACAAAATGAAATTAAACTTAAAATTACATAAAAACTCAAACTTTTTATCAAAACAAATAAAAACCTAAAAAAATAAAGAACATTGAATAATCATCATGAACCCAATAATATAGATTCCAAATCAAACCATATATGGACAAACCAAAAACATAGGCATGTTGGAAAGCATGCAAGCATCAATAATCTAATATTCATACACTTCATTTATCACTTAACTGTGATTTTGTTAAAATAAATTTTAGTTCAAAACTAAAACCATAGGGTTAAAAACCTACTGAAAACATGTTATTGATAAGAATAAATCCTAGATTATTAGCTAATAAAGTTTCCTAAAGAATTTTATGCAAAAAAATTGACATAAATTAATCAAATCATAAAGTTAAGGTAATGTTCTTTTTCTAAACACAAAGAAGACCGCCCAACAAACCTAGCACATTATCATGCCTCCAAAACTGGAATTTTTAACTTCTAATACGTACTTTCTTTGTTCTAACAAGTTAACCATAACCAAACAAGTTTAAATAAAAAAATATATTTTAAAAAACTAATAAATAACATCAAAATCATGCAAAAATTTTCAAATTTCAAAACTACCAGCTTAAAATAGCCTAAAAACATCAAATTTTAATTCAAAGCTAACTCTTTAAATACTTGGAAACCAAACCATACTCGGGAATCAAAAACACATTATCAAACTAAAAAAAATCAATAACCTTACTATCAAGTTTTCATATCACTATATTTTATTTATTATAAACATCCAAACATATTCTAAACATCTAATAATATTAACAAACAACTCCAAATAAGATCAAACAAATAAAAAAATAATATTTTTGTTCATTAATCATTCATATCACTATATTTTATTTATTATAAACATCCAAACATATTCTAAACATCTAATAATATTAACAAACAACTCCAAATAAGATCAAACAAATAAAAAAATAATATTTTTGTTCATTAATCAAAATCAAAGCTAAAACTCAAACAATGATTATTACCCTTTATTTCCTTTTTCTCCAAGTTTGTTTCTCTCAAAATTGTGAAAATCCTTATGTTAGATTCTTAAACATTCATTTTAGAGTTTCTTTATCAATCTTTTCTTGTCCTCTTTCTCTCCTCCTACTCTTAATTCTAGGAGTATTTATGAGATTTGTAAGGGTTTTTGATAATATATATTTACAAACTTTGATTTACAAATCCATTATACATGTTAAGAGAACACCAGACAATAGCTAGAGCTAGAGTAATCGGATTCCCTATAAATATTTGTGAACAGAATAATGTTCATATTAGATGGAAGAAAAAAATATTGAACGTCCACATTCAACTTGCAGCAGTTATGATGCGGAGGGCACAGGTTGTACGGATAGCCATGCAATTAAAGGCCTCAAATAAATCCAAAATGAGCCTTAAACATATATGCCACCTAAATTAGAGGCAGTTCTAAATAGCAATACTATAACAATGATGACAACATAGGAATATAAAAGAAAAAAATAGTAAGAAGCTTAACAATTAAACATTCAGTGTGAAGGAATAGACGGTAGAGCTCTTATGTTCAAAATACATCACGATCCTCAGCCGATTAACATTTCTCTTCACATGTTTTCCAAAAGTCAGCGTCTTAGAGATGTTACTGTGGTCTTCTGGTTCTTTGGAATGTAAGCAAATTGGCTAAAATCAACGGCATTATTCGACCTTCCATATAAAGCAAGACAGCATCATAGATGGAGAAATTGCATAAATTTAATAGCAAAACACAACTAACATTAGGACTCAATATATTACCTATTGGTACAAGTGTTCCGAATGTCTTTCAGAGGGGCTCGCAGTCCACTGGCACGAGAACCAGATGAGTTGTATCTAAATGAAGATATCACAGAAATAAATCTTTCT